TTAGCGACGCCAAGAGAAATGTGACTTCAATCATCCAGAATTTATATGATTGAAGTTTCATTTTCATATTTAGTCAACCTCGAAAAAAAATAAATATATTTAGACACAAATTGTCTAAATGGTTGACTAAATTAAGTATTTCGACTAACAACATTAACCTCGATGAAGGATTTTCTTTTAGCAGCATCCATTTCCTACTATAGCCCATGTTTAATGATGGGCCCTAATACCTAATTTAATTACGTACAATAGTTCAATAAGCAAAAATATAGTTACTCATTTTAATATGTTTATAATTATTGTATATATTTAACTCTATATTGAACTAGTAGTTTACTTGGTTTTATAAAGCGCACCGATTACGATATAAAAGCTTTAAAGCATAGTCTTCGATTTAGTATTTCGTTAATCCAAGGTATGGCGTCCTGGCATAAATTTGATATTGAATTTATGTATATGTTGTACGTCAAATTAAAATTTGCGTCAATCAAAATAATTACAATATGCTAATTCCTACCCTTACTCTAATATAGAACTACCCTAGCCTTAATGAAATTCTATATTTAATTTATTTTAATTTGACATACAACATATATATAAATTTAATTACGCAGTAAAAGAGTGTTATGCCAAAGGGTCCTGTTAACTTTCTTTATTAAATTGACATATTTGGTGGGGCACATAGATATACAGTACTCGCCTAAAACTACGTACGTACGTACGTACTAAAATGTCAACAAATTTTTGCGATACAAATAAAAGGCATGTACTTATCGGGTATGTAAATTAATTAAAGTATACTAATACAACAAATATAGAAATGATTCCGATAATCAAATATAGATGACAAGTTGAGGACATATTCACTTGTGGTACTTAATATTAATTTTGCAATGCAGAACATTATACAACGGAAATTTCTATATCAACAAAGAAATACTTTAAAGTTCTGTATATTTTGCATTCATAATAGCAACCTAGTATATTGAGAAAAAACATTAGATTTATAAAATTAATTATTGTAAATTCCGATACCCTAATTATATAAAACCCACTTTCATTTTCTTATTATATCTTAAAATAAACCACAATTTTTGTTATTCATATTTTTAACCGCTAAGATAGTCATAATAATAATGGACAGACAATAACGATAAAATAACGGATCAAATTAAGAATTCAGAATGTATCTAATCATTTGGATAATAATATCATGTACATACGTACGTTACTTCAGCGCTTTTATATGGTTTGTGAAACATAAACATGAGCTATCATGTATCATCTAAAAGAACAAGTGGTATATTGAAGTTCACAGTTTAGTTCTACAGACTGTGGTTACTAGTCACCAAATATTTTAATTGCTGAATGCCGTGTAACAACCATTGGTTAGTATTTTATTGATGAAATTAGATTATTACCTTGCAATAACATTCTTCTTCGCTGTCTTTCTTACTTGCACTCGAAAGGATGAATTTTGTGATATCATAACTCCTTTTTATCCGTCATCTTTCATTCCTTTCTCTTACACAACCTTCATCCATATATTCGTTCATTCATTCATTCATATATAATTTATCCAGTCCCTTATTCAAAATGAATATAATTTATAATTTTTATATTTTTTTATTTTTATTAAATTTTTCGTACTGGTCATTTGCTAATAATGGACCACAATTATATCGTGTAGAATTATCCCATCGCAACGTTAGTACTAAAAATTGCTATGCCTCTGCATTGAATAAACATAGACATAGACTTAAAAATTCAAATAAGAGAGCCACAATTCAAGAAATAGGTGCCATCAATTACGCAAATGACGTAGAAGTACATAATCTTAATTCTATTAACTACTATAATAATTGTAATCTTTATTAATTAATTCTTATACTATAATAACTTTAAAATTAGTGGATAAGTCAAATATCTTTAGGCACTCCACTACAATCATTTCTTGTAGCCTTTGATACTGGAAGTGCTGACCTTTGGGTAAGAAATATTAAGTTTTCCCTTTTAACCTGTTTTTACTTTCTAGTTAAGTATATGTATTTTCCCATAAGGTTCCTTGCGTATATTGCGATAACTGTAATAATAAAAGGTTATATGATGATACTCGAAGTTCTACCATTAAATATGATGATAATGATTTTTCCATTACTTATGCGGACGGTTCATGTTCTTACGGTTGGATCGAACTGGTAATATTATAAATATTCTGTACAGATACGAATTCAGTTATTTATATAAGTTTTATTGGTCTATATATTAGGATACTCTTCAAGTTGGATCCATGTCTATTAAGTCCCAAACGTTCGCCATAATATATTCCATAAGTTCAGCGTTTCAAAGTGATGTAATTGATGGTGTTGTGGGGCTTGGTATGTTTGAAATTTTATTTGTTTACTAATATGCATTTCTATCACCAAAAATCTTCCATTTTTTAACTTTTTTTTTTTCGACTATTCAATAGGATATGATTCGCTTTCAGTATATCCAGGCACTAAAACTCCTTTAACGAATATGATTAATCAAAGGTTAATTCCTAAAAAAATCTTTTCGGTACAGTTGCGTCCTGCACGTAACAAAACTTCTTATGGTGGAATATTCGTCTTTGGCGGCCTAGACACTACTTTATACAAAGGTTCTATAACATATGCCCCTGTAACTGTTAAAAATTTTTGGCAAATTGGAATTGATGCAGTATTATATAATGGAAAGGCTACTTTTACCTCACCAAGAAACAGCAAACAACAGGCTATAGTTGACACTGGAACTGCATTGCTTATTATGGGAAAAAGTGTAGTAACAACATTGCATTCAAGCATGAAAGGAAAGTATGATTCTAGTTCACAGACATGGCAAGTTCCTTGTAATTTGAATAGTAATGTACAAATATCGATTCAAATTAACGGTGTTCAACTTCCGATTAACTGTAAGTTTACTACTGTTTAGCCAATGCATTAACTTTGACTGGTTATTTTTGACTTGACAACTTTTAAATTATAGATCAAGATATCGTGAGAGAAAAAGTAAGTTCTTCTTCAAGTACTTGGTGCTATTCTGGAATAGGTTCTACTGATTCTACCGTGAGTATTTTATTATACATATTTCTATCTCATATTTTCAATTTCATATTAAATTTTTTATCAAATAGACTTGGATCCTTGGAGGTGTCTTTTTGAAAAATTATTACGTAAGCATTCTCTGGTATTAATAATTGATTTTAGTTTGTTCATTATTAATTCAATTTATTTATGCTTTAAAGGCGGTATTTGATGGCGTGGCGAACCAAGTTGGATTTGCTACACCTGTTTATCCGAAGTAGTCCTGATAATTCAGATTGAATACGGATACCACACATCCTTTGAGATAGATCCATAATAACTGTATATATCTGATTTAAGATTAAGATATTACAGCAATTGACTAGAAAATTTTAACTAATAGAAAATGACCAGTGAGTTTATCATTCTGGTCAACAATCTTTTTGTCTCAATTAATCTATAATTACTAGTAAATAATAATTATTATTACTGTCGGAAAATTTCACCAGCCCATAAGGAATAGAGGCAGTTTACCATTTTTATATTTTTTCTTGTATTTTTCTATTTTGTATTTTACAAAAAAGTTTGATTACATTTAATAAACTATATAGAATCGATAAAAGCTGATAACCCTTATTTTTGTCCATTGTAACAATTGAGCATCGCTAAAATTATTAACAAATCACAGTGAAGGTGATACTTGAGCTAGTCTCAATAACATCATTACTTAATATTGTTAAATTTTTAATTCGTTGTTTTTTATATTGTATATTTAGAATTTAGTATTTTTAAATTCATGGAGAGTTACAAATTATTTGTTCTGAGTTTATTACGGCTGCTATTAGGAACAAGAAAATTTAAAATGCGCAGCAAACAATTTATCTACTACTAGATGCTTTGGTTGAATCACTTGTAGAGATGCGTATGATTCTAAATCATTTTGCGAGACCAACTCGATTCGGTGGTTTACATCACCTCCACTTTTTAGCTTTCCCCTGTCACCTTTTGAAAAAAAAATTGGGACATATATTTCTAATTTTGGCCAGAATGCATAGTGTCGGGCGGAATTAAGAAATCTATACTACTAAAATTTTAATGTCGTTTTAAGGATTATGATTGGTCGAATTCAGGTACCCGTGATCGGGTCATAATTTGATCTACACAATTGGATTAAAAATAGCGCTACTTCAGTGTAATGCTAGCCTCTAACATCATTAAAAGAGTTTAAATTAAAAAATTCCGATGCGAATCTATGTATATTAACACTTTTATAGTAAATATAGTGGATTTGAAATTTACCGATTAAATTAGAATTTTTGTTGAATATATTTTATATTAACTTCTCTGACCATAAAATCCCAAACTCATTGCAAAACTGTGACTTATGTATTAATTTACCTCTACTGTATAGCGATATTTGTTTCAACTAATAATTTTTTTTTCAAATTCGTATATGTGACAGTGATATTTTTTTGTTTATTATCAACATAACCATTTACTATGAATACTCCTTTTGATAGGATCTGTAGGAAAAACGTTCATGTTGCCATATAGACGACATTCCACCGGTTAAAAAACTTAAATTATACCCGGGGCATATTGCTTGGAGGATAAAGTAATAAGTGGATTTCTTGTTAAATATAGATAAACTAGCAAGAGCCCGTGCTGTTGAGCACAGGATAAAATTAGGTTGTTAAAAGTCCAATTTTTTTAGTCCAGCTCCAAAAATAGACTTTGATAAGAATTTGATTCTTGAGTCTGTGCATATAATACGCATCGTTATGTTACTGCATAGTAAATATTCATGAACTCTGAATTCTTAGGATAATAATAAATGTTCTTTATTCTCATGCACTAAATTAATGCGAGCTAAAGTGGTAAATTTGGATATCTGATTTTAAATAGCAAATATTATGAACTTGGATAGCTTAATGCTCATTATATTCACAATCTAAAACCAATTATGAATAGTAAACAAAATTGGAATAACTTATTTTGAATATTTAAATTAATAAATTATTTTTATACTCATGCACTAAATAATCACGAATAAAATGAACTAATTCACAGACTTAAATAACTTATTTTAAAGATTTAGATTTATAAATGTTTTCTATGTTTATGTACTAAATTAATCCGAATAAAATGAATTAAGTGGTATGTAAATATTCATAAATGTGATCTTAATTAAAATACTAAGATTATAAATATTATGCAGTATATTCTTTAACTCACATACAAAATATAAAAATGTAGTAAATATTCATGAAACTGTGTAGTTAATTAGAGTTGTCATCTACTTGGATGTTCCGGTTCAGTCCTAAAAGCCATGGCTCTGGCTTGAGCTATGCTATTGGAGCACGGTACGTATGTAAACGTTCAGGGAAGGATACTTGTATGAGTGACTGGTATAAATCAATTGTTCGAGAACTTTTTGCTTGTTTTAAAGTCTTTTTGAGAGCAGAACATCTTACTACAAAGATTTCCACAAAAAACCGCTGTAGCTTTAGGACGTTGTCAGTATTCTCAAAACTAAAGATGGTCTCGCTCTTGACGAAAGATTATCAATGGACCAATTGTCGTGGTCGAATTTGGTGCCCGGATATTCGTAGCGCAAGGGTCAGGCACCATGATCGGAAATGGCGTGATTCGGGTTTGTTTAAAAATTAATTAAAAGTTTAAAACATTGATTGCATGAACAATGAGAAAGTATGTAATAATCAATGACGCAAATATGTATTAGTAATTAATATAAGGTATCGATCCCAAATGGGGGAAGTGCCTAGCTTCGTTCTTGTAATTACCTTGACACTTGATGAATAAACTGTTATCTGTGTGAATACATATCGTCGGTGGAAGGACCTGTACGATACACGGTCATCGAATAAATTAGCCAAGCGGGTAAAGACTGATAATAAAGACCAAGAAGTACACGGTAGTCCGGTAAACTCCGTGACACTAATAAACTACGTATTGCTAAGAAAATAAATTTTGATCTTTTATTTCTACATGGTAATAATATAATTCATAGAGATCTTGTAAGATATTATATTTTTGTCTGATTTTATATTTATTAATTCACTAACATGCAGTTCACTAATATATTATTAATAATTTAGATTTGAAGAACATTTGATTCGTCAAAAACAATTCAAAGATTGCAAAATTTAATTAACAAATCAGATAAATCAGTTTTCTCTTCATAATGACAATATCGAAAAGATGATCCAAGAAATTGATACAAAAGTTGATATGATCTATGCCCATGTGATAGATGAGGAAGAAACTATCACATTTTCGAATATCAACATCAAGAAATTTAACAGATTTCTTAAACTCACTGGGTTAAGAGTAAAAAACGTGGGGATTTCCAATAAATGTGTAAAAGACATAGCTTCTTTTCAGTGGACCGATTACACAAAAAACCATGTAGAACAACGAAAGAGGCTATACAAATATTTCGAAACAGCATCTTCCTATGAACATTACCATCTTTGCAGAAACCTTTGATTTTGCTAAATATATTTACTATATAATAAGAATATATAATTAAAATATAATTAAAATATTTTTATTCTTTTAAGTTACTTTTAACAATCTTTTTATCATATTGTTAAATA